ATATGTCGAGCAACGGGATCCAAGTAAAATAAAACACCTAGATAAATGGATAACAAAATATGGATTTGATGGCCGACTAAACACACAAAAAATAGCCATGTTAAAGACCGAAATAATCACAAAAACAAAAAATGATCCCAAGAAAAGGGAAAAAGAGGGATACAGTGACATAGAATTTTGGATGAAGATGGCAGGAAAGAGAGAGGAAGGGGAAAGAAAGCGTAGGAAAGAAGAAGAACAGGAACGTGCAGAGAAAGAAAAAGATAAGCAAATAATGTTTCAGAGGAAGGAAGATGATGAGAATAGTAAGGAAGAAAGCGAGGAGGAAGGAGCTGCAGCTGTAGGACAAGAAAGACAAATACAGAGAATATATCCGACGCTGCCTCAAGAAAATCCTCCCCAATACGAAGGCTCACGAACACATAAAAGAAACACCAGAGCGGGAGGTAGCCAGTATGAGTGGTCAAAAGATATGGGAAAGATATTTTCCCCAGTTGCTCCTGCTCCATCAGTTACTGACATGTCCACTAGTAGTGCTGATGTTTACCCCATGATCCAAGTAGCAAAACCCAACAATGGTGGGGGACAACCCACCATGTTGATTTATAGAACATGGACCATGGAAGATGTTAAAAAAGCAGTAGAAGGAATTATTTCACACAAGGAAGATATAAACCAGTTTATCCAGGAAATGGATATCTTAAGGAGATCATATCATCTTAATGGACAGGAAGTACAGCAGGTATGGATGACAGTTTTAGGCACTGACTGGCACCATGTGTGTGGGGATTGGAGCCCATTAAAGGAAGCAGCCCCGCCAACTGTTTTGGCTCACGATTCTGGTGAGCTAACCAACAGGATACGAGCACTAGAGGACAGAGCCACTCTCAGGTTTAGACGAAGAGCAAACTATACCGAAATAGGGAGAGTTAAACAAAAAGATGAGGAGTCTTTTGAAGACTATAGAATGAGAATGACAAAAGCATTCAAAATGCACAGTGGTTTGGAGGATGATGGACAGCAAAACGGAGCTTTCCGCCAACAACTAAAAAACGCCCTCCATGCAGGATCCAAAGATGCTATCCGCAGCTGGGTTGATATGCATTACATAGGGTTCCCTACAGGGAACTTGGAGGATTATGCTAACCATGCCCTCCATGCTGAAAAGGTTGTAAAAGAAAAGAAAAAGAAGGCTGTTGGAGCCTTTTATCAAGAGGGAGAGAACAAGGTTTTCTACCAAGGAGGTAGAGGAAGGCGAGGATTTAGAGGCAGAGGTAGAGGACAAAGAGGTGGAGGAGTAGGACGCGGAAATTTCAGACGAAATTCGTCAGGATGTTGGAGTTGTGGCAAAGAGGGACATCTCGCTCGAGATTGTGCGGAGCAAAAATCATACTCCAGTATGCGTTTGCTACAGTTCATACCTTTGCACAATATTGGAAGAACAGAGGCATGGTGACCTCGACTGGGAAACCAGTAACACACGCCATCCTGTTGAAAGAACTATTACAAGCAGTTCAGTTACCCAAAACATTGGCGGTATTTAAATGTGCAGCACACACATCAAGGACAGATAAAGTTTCCCTGGGAAAAGCTTTCGCAGATAAGACCGCAAAAGCGGCCGCTGAAGGACAGCTCGAGGTGTTGTCCCTGGAGGAAGATAAAAAACTAGATGATGTGATACTAAATGAAATGCAACACCAAAGTCCACAATCAGAAAAAGACACCTGGATAAAAAATGGAGCAAAACTATACAAGGGCACATATGTATGACCTGCGAATAAACCTATCCTACCAAAACATTTATACAAGTGGGCGGCTATATTGAGCCATGGTCTAACACATGTCTCAACAGGAGGGATGGTAGGACAGATACATCAATACTTTACTACCTATGGCTTTAACTCTTATTCAAAAAATTTTTGTAGAGCATGTTTAACTTGTGCAAAGCATAACCCACAAGGAAACCTAAGACGAAGGGGCCGTTTCCCCACAGCCCAATATCTGTTTCAAATAATCCACATGGACTTTATAGAATTAAACCAAAGTGAAGGGAAAAAGTATTGTCTAGTCATAGTTGATGCGTTTTCAAAATGGATTGAACTTTTCCCCACAAAACACCCTGATGCACTAACGGTGGCTAAAGCATTGTGCAAGGATATCATACCAAGGTATGGGATCCCTGAAAGAATATATAGTGATAACGGAACTCATTTTGTCAACCAGATCGTCAAAAAGGTCGGAACAATGTTTCATATAAACTTAAAAAATAACTGTGCTTATCATCCACAAAGTGCAGGGCTAGTGGAACGCACAAACGGAACTATTAAAAATAGATTAAGGAAATGCATTGAGGAAACAGGAAGGCCATGGACACAGTGTTTAGAATTAGTTAAATTATACATAAACATTACATCCACCACAGGGTTAACTCCATACGAAACTCTGTTTGGAAGACCCTATAAGCTACCCCAATTTAAGAATCAGTGGGAAATAGATGAAGAAGCTAATTTAGCAGAGTACATGAGAAAAATATTAGAGAAACAGAAACAAAAACTGACTGATGAGAATCCTTCTGTCTCCCAACAGGTAATCCAGTTAGTGGAACCGGGAGACTGGGTGCTAATAAAAAGTATAAAGAAGAAACACTGGCATTCACCTAAGTGGGAAGGACCCTATCAAGTATTGCTAACAACTCCCACTGCGGTAAATAGTAATAGCAGAAAGATCAACTTGGATTCATCTGACCCATTGCAAAAAGGTCATTTCAGTTGAAAGCTCCGATAGGGGAGGTGAGCCAAAGACCGATAATAGGGTGGATCCAGACGTGTAGAGACTGGATAGACCCGAAAGTCAGTGAAGATTTTATAAGACACCGAACCCAGTAGAGGAGGAAATATTTCAGCAGCAATGACTCCCAATGGTTTAAAAAACGCCATCCGAGGTTGGATGGTGACACTTTTCCTAATTTTAACCTTTCTGCTCGTGTGGTACTTATGGGAACCACCGAAAGAAGGATTAACTAGAAATAGGACTCCTAATATAACCCAGCAAAATACAACTCACGAAAGGAACAGGCGTAACACAGACTCAGAATGCGGAGAAGACATACAGACAAAACATACTGGCCTAGTTTTCTGTGCGCCACAAAATCAAACCACGGCAATCATAATACCTTATGGCTCACTCACCAATGATGCCGACTCTAAGGGGCAAAGTTGGGGTGAGGCCTACAACTGGTATGCTACCACAGGAACGGGATGGGGATGATAGGATATTCAATAAACTCCCCAAGAATGTAACTGGCTTATGCGCATTGGTCACCCTGTTACTGCCAGTATCATTATATCCCATGTCAGTAAAAGACTTAACGAAAAATCTAAATGCCAAAATGCACCAACAGTGGCATCTAAAGAAAAAAACAGCGGCATGACGATCAGACGACGGTCCTACATACATTGATGCTATTGGGGTGCCAAGAGGGGTACCGGACGAGTACAAATTGGTTGATCAGGTGGCGGCTGGATTTGAATCATCAATTTGTTGGTGGTGTACAATCAATAAAAACGTAGACAGAATAAATTACATCCACTATAACGTTCAGAAATTGGGAAATTGGACAGAAGCTGGGTTCGAAGCGGTACATGGTCAACTAGCTGCAACGTCACTCATGACTTTCCAGAACAGAATAGCGGTTGACATGCTCTTGGCGGAAAAAGAAGGAGTGTGTGCGATGTTCGGTGAACGGTGCTGCACATTCATTCCTAATAACACTGCTGCTGATGGCAGCCTCACCAAAGCTATAGAGGGCCTTCGAACTCTAAATGGCAAAATGAAAGACCACTCAGGAGTAGATACCACGATGTGGGATTTCTGTGTTGGTCTCAATAGCAGTATTTGCTGCTGTCTTAACCTTATGTGGATGTTGTTGTATTCCCTGCCTACGTTCATTGTTAAATCGTCTTATTACCACAGCCATCTCACCCATGGAAAACCAAATAGCACAAATGTATCCACTACTAGGTAAAGGATCTGATGGTGATACTGATAGTGAGGATGACGATGCTGAAACGACGTACTATGGAGTACCTGACCTATTCCCTAACCCTGGAGATTATGAGTAAAGTAATCTCTCAGGAGACTCTCTGGGTGTAAGCATATTTGTGTTCATAAAAATGATCTTACAACCGAAAATCTTTTGAAGTGGTTGCCTAAGTGATATGAGAATTTGAGCAAATATGTGATAAACAGGAGGGAAATGTTGGAATAATTGTATATGGATTTATCTCATATTTTCATATTTTCTACCTAACCATGTATCCTGCTTTACAGTTTAATAATCATGCATCCAGTTTGTCTTGTGTTGAAGTTGTTTTGCAGGTAGTAGCTGCTAGAGGAGATCACAAGCTGTCACGATGCATAGAGCAGACTGAAACCAGCCTGTTCTACTTCTACATCATGGGATGAACATTTGAACAGCATATAATTGTGCATCTATCACGTTGCTACTGTGTGATCTCACCCTTTAGAACAGCAACGCCTTGTAACTAGTGAAGGCCTTGAAAGACAATAAAAAGAGAGGACACGGCGGAATATGCTCAGAGCGGGTTGGAGATTGTAACTGAGCATATCTCTGTCCGTTCTCCTCGCGACTAAGAAATCTAACGCTGTGTCTTGTCCCTTTTGTTTCTTATTTTAAATGTCTTAGGTTGTGTAAACCTGACAGGTACTATAGGCAAAATACTGTAAAATCCCCTTGAAACAATAATAGAGACACTTTAATTTTTAATTGAGGTACATGGAGATTATGGTTCTTGGTTTAAAATAGTTTGGTAAAATATTTTGGGTCCGCAGTACACATTTAAAGAGAATTAAACAAATTTAAATACAATTTAAATCCGCGGGATTAATAACCGCTTTCTGTTCAAGAGGAACCTTTCTTCGCTGAAGCCTGTTTTCTTGCCGGACGGGACCGTGCGCCGGACAGATTCCGTTGACATTGCTGAGGGGGAGGAGGTGGAGGAGGACTGCTGTTACCAAACCATAAGGTTTTATTGAAGGCTGCCGCAGTTTGGTGGCAGCCCGCTCCTCTCCGGTGACTTTCAGACATTTAGGAGCCATGTATCGGCGGCCGCTGCAGTCTGCCGTCAGAAACCTTATTAACGGGACAGCGTCCAGAGCCGCGTACCGAAAGGTAATAACGTTACAGCTAACGTTAGCTTAGCCGCTAGTGTGATTTAAGCTAAGTAAACTAACGACACAATACAAACCGTAACGAGAGCTGCGGAGCTGATAACTGAAGGCAAAGAATGAAACGAAAGACAGAAAAGTTACAATTTTCGGTGTAAGTGTATCCTTAAGTTTGGGATATATCATCAAGCTAAAAATGTTAGTTTAATAAGATTAGCTGCCTGTGAGGGTCATTACCTGGTTTGTGCAGGTGAACTTGACCGTTAACTGACGTTAATCCAGCGGTAACGGCCGCAGAAAGACTCTCCGGGCTTTGATGGAAATATGAAGTCACAGAAGTAGTTTTTACCTAAAGCACAGACAAACACCTGTAGACAGAAAATAAGATATTCAAACCCACAGAACTTAAGTTGAAATTAGACCTGCAACGATTGACTATGATTGAGTAATTTATCAAGCAAAAAAACAAACAAATATTCTCTGGTTTCAGCTTCTTAAACATGAGTTTGCTACTCTCTTTGATTTGACAGTGAATTGAAAAACTATGGTTGTTATTTTTGACTGTGGTCAGATACAACAAGTAAACAGACTCTACCATCGGCTTAGAGGAAGTGTAAAATTACATTATTTCTCTTTTTTTTTTAAAACATCTCAGAGGCTAAATAATAAATCTTAAGGTTAATTGATAAAGAGAGTAATTCTTAGTTGTAGTCCTAGCTGACATATACACATTGACACCTTTCAGGTCTATTTGGCAGATTAAGTACTAATGAAAAGTAGACACTGGTTTATGTTAATGTGATAGTGGAACCAATGAAACTTGTTTATCTGCCTTTTTTTTGTTTTGTTGTTGTTTTTTTTTAATATATTTAAACCTAATCCATTTTATGAATTCATCACAGTGATGCAAAAGTCATAGAGAAATCTAAAACTGCTTTAGTTTATTCCTGCTCATTCATTTGCAGCAATGATCTAATACATCCAGATTTTACATCATCATTCACCCATCATATGTCATATAAAATATCAGCCAGCCGTTCCACGGAATATTATTTTATAAACACATGAGAGAAACACATGATCAGGGTGTGGCTGTTCTCATTTGACTTTGAAATTTAATACAACACTGCTGCAGTTATCAACATAGAAACATATTGTACAAGTGTGTAGCTCCTGGCATCTTCCCACTAACAACCTCACTGTTTTATTTATGTTATTAACTCAAGCCTTCAGCTGTCCCACACACACACACACACACACACACGCACACACAAAATATCAAAGAGGGAAAAGCTTTTTAAAAATTATACACATTAAGGAAGATTTGTCCAATTTTGAAAACAGAGCAGGAAATGTTGCCCGATCATATGATCCCAGAGTCGTCTGCTTTGAAGTGTGCCATTATATCCTCTAGTCAGTGTTCATGAGATGCTGATGCATCTTTTTCCATTTGAAGAGAAGCACAACCAAAGCTTGACTGGCAATATGTAGGTCCCCAGGGAGCAGCCTGAACATGAGAGTCAGGATCAATGACTGTGCAACATACATTTTAAAGTATATTTAAAAACCCCCATCCACACATCCTCCGGCCGCAGGCAGGACCAAAACATGTGGCCGTGGGTTTCTGGGTCACAACCTCATCTCAAGCAAGTTTAACCACCTCCTGCTAAAAGTCCTAACCTGCAGGTTTCAGAAGGAGTTGGTCTGGGGAATGTCAAAAACTTGGTCTGCTTTTGTTAGAAGTGCAGCCACACTTTTTTACTTCCTTCCCAACCTCTGACCAGTTTTGTGTCAGGACAACATTAGAACCACAAACCTACAAATGTATGTTTATATTAGCTTTATAATTTTCATGTCACACTGTGTATCTCGCTCTCTCAGAGCTTAATCTCTCGTTGTCCTCTCTCCTTCTTTTTGTCCTTCTCTCTGTCTCCATCCAGGCTTCAGATCAGGAAGCCTGCTTTGCTAGAGCTTTAGTAGCTTGCCAGCTGGCCAGAGTCTCCCCTCCCTGTTCAACACCATGTCGGACTCTGCACATCACCACACAGGTAACGTGACATGCAAACTAACACACAGAATTTGATATTTAAAAACCCATGTGCGGGGCTGAATTTAGTAGCTGAAAAAGATATATATTTCAGTCTGAGAAACATATAACTCATGAGGATCATCAATCTTTTACGCAAAGCCTGCGTTACTAACTGGGAGTGTGGAGCTTACCAGAAAGGAAAAGTCTAATGAAATATGCTCGAGCGGAAAAAGTAGGATTTAGTGTTTGTTGGTGTCAATCCAGTATGGATATTTAACTTTTTAGTCATTGTCTTATTTTAAGTCCAACGAGCTTGAGTACAGATTAAAAAGTGTCATGATTCTGTATTTGCCCAAATGTAAGAAAATATGTTTGTCTTTAAATATTGTTTTAAAAATTGTGGGTCGTCTTACACAGTTGTGAAGATAGGACTAAAGGTTTATGTCTTCATGACAACAGATATTCTTAAAGAATGCAATGGGTCCCGGTGTCACATAAGCTGTGTCTCAATTCAGGGGCCATATCCTTTGGAGGTGTGGCCCTTCGTAGCCGACGTAGACCACGAAGGCTTAACCACAATGATCAACGGTCTGGTCTATGGAGGATTGTTGCTTTGCTCATCAGCTGTGCACTGCCCTTATTGTTGCATTGCTGTCGCCTAGCAACCTTGATAACATATAACTTTATCTGCATTTCTCGGCCGCATTTGAAGGAGTCTTTCTAAATGGGACAGTGTAGTCGCGCTGCTGTGGCACAAATGGTTTTCAAATGCAGCATGCATAGGATGTGACCCCTGAACTGAGACAAAGCTATAGACTTCTCCGGAGAGCGTTGCATTATGGGTTGTTCGTAGCATCAATGTTGTGAGTTACTTCAGGTCTATTTGTAGCCTGTATTTTAGAGTCAGTTGACCTTAAATCTTATTAGCCCATTTTTAACCTACACGAGTTTCTGTTGGTTCATGTTTCACTGCAGCGGAGGAAACAAATTCCTGCTGAGTGAAAACGAGTCCAAAGAATTTCCCACTGTCTTCACTGGAAAAAACAGACTGAAACATCTGTGAAGCAGCTAAGAATGTCATGATAAGGACTCAGAGAGACAGACTGAAATGTTGCTAACAGGCAGAGAAAATCATTATAACCTGATACGAGGGAGAGTGAGTCTGTGACTGAGACTAGATCCACATGTGAAAGGCTTCGAGAGATGATGACTTTTACACTGGGGAATCGTTTAGCACCAGTCTGACAGAGGTTTCTATCCCCAAAAAGAGGGGGTGATTAGTGTTGTCCTGCATTTTGTCCACTACACTGCTTCTTCACTGCTGTGCATATTGAACACAGACACATTTAAGATTCATTTCAAGTTCAACAGAAAACATGCAATTTGCAAAGACTCGTGATTACAGGGATGTTAAATGTGAAGCAGCGGTGAGGGGTCGCTCAGGTCGTGGTGGCTGTAATGAAACTGTTAAGACAACACGCATCTTAGAATAGGTCACTATATTAATTTACTGAACAGCTGCACTCGCCCAGTAAAGGTCACGTTCCCCAGGTGTGTGTCGTCATGCTGTAGGTTTGTGTGTGTGTGTATGTGCTGTTGATTTAATGAGGGTTATACAATATATATACACAGGGAATATTAAGGGTTGTTTTTCACTCCCACCTTTCCTGTCCTCCCTCGTTTTTCATCACTGTTTTCTTTCGTTCTCTTCTTCAAAAACACCATTCAGCTCATCTTTCCCTCCTTCCCTCATCCTCCCTTTCTCTCACAAATTTCTTTCTGTTATCTCTCTCACTTCTGTCCCCCCCCCCCCCCTTTTCACCCCCCTACTCACTGTCTTTTATTCTGTTTCTCGCCCGGCAGCTCTGTAATGTGAAGGAGACGCCTCAGCACACGGAGGAGGAGGTGGGGGCCTTCACAAAGCTCATTGAGGCCATGGGCTTCACAGGACCGCTCAAATACAACAAATGGGTGAGTGACGGAGAGAAAAGGGACGACGAGGTGAGGGAGTGAGGTTGTAAAGTTAAGAAGAAGTGATTGTGGGAAGAACGGAAAAAGAAAGAAAAGTATGATGGGTATATCCTTTTAATATGTACTGTATCTATTTCTACCTGCCTCAGACACTTGTCGGAGGAAACACAAGCCGACCAAACAGATGCACCAAAGTTTTGTAGGATTATCCGCACATTAGCATTACGACGTCATGCTCGTGATTAATGACAGTAACCACAAGTAGTGGTAGTAATATGAGGGCAGTAAGGTTTGGAGAGTTATGAGCCGAGTCCACACTGAGCCTAGGAACTGTACTGAACTGAGTGCACTGTGAAAATGTTTAAATACAACAACAGCTGCACCTTTAGCCTCATTTAACCTGTTGGTTGAGTGCAAACATGTCACCAACACCCTGCAGGAGCATCACAGGGCGGGAGGCTTTGATAAACCACAAGCGGGAGAAACAAAGAGACGGAAGAACAGCGATAAATATGAGAGAGATTGAAGTAAAGCACAGTAATCGATGTTGTGTAACTGTCATTTATAGAAAACACAGTAAATACAGCTGCTGCTGTGTGTGTGAAGGACGGTTATTTGACTCCAGTGTGTGTGTGGTGGTCAGAGGACGACAGAGGAGCTCCGACCTCCCAGCAGGGAGCTTAAGTTATGGGCTGTCAGCCAGGAATCTTCCTCACAGCGTGTAAACACACACACACACACAATCACACACAAACACACACACACACACACACACACACACACACACACACACACACACACACACACAGACTCAAACACGGCCGAGCAAATCTGCTCTGCTTTTTAATGCACGTACAAGCAGATAAAGTGTGGCTGCTGTTTCCAATCAGCAGCTTGATTTTTAATGTTAGTTGTTAAAATTGTCGAGGCCGTTTGTGGCGCTGCAGGGAAAGGTCGTGAAGACGAAATGTGGCGTCCTGTAAAATCCTCTCCAGTCCTCCGACATTTAGAGAAAGAATCTCGGACACATACATTTTAGATTTGTGATATTCACAAATCAACAACAACAATGAAAGATAAATACGCATGTTGATATTGTTCCAGGATTTGTCTGTGTTTTTTTTTTTTTTGGTTTCATCCATTGCATCACACTGTTGCTCTGACTGTTTTCCAAGAATACCCACATCATTACAGTATAAATATTTACAGGCATGGCAAGGTTTGGTTATGTGGGAGGTTTTGGCGAAACAGTTAATGGAGGCGTACGTGCCAGGGGGAATGTGATGTTGTTGTCAAGTTGCAAAATGTTGGTGCTACACAGCAGGTTGGCCTGAGCAGTTACACATCTCTGACCTCACATCCTGTTTGTTTCTGTTTGACTCCTTCTATAAGACACAAAACATCCTCAAACCCTGGGGGGAAAAAATCTGTCAAAAAAGAAAATACATCACTTGGTTTAAAACAAGTGTCTTTCTTTGTCTTTGCCTCATGTGAAGCTCTTTGAATTGTTTGAGGTGCGACGATTAAAGTTTCCTCGCCTTCATTTTACAGTGACACGTCTTCATTTGAAAACTATGGCAATGTATTTGTAGCTCACTAGTTTCCGATGACAAATGTTAGCATGGAAGGTAGCAACACTGCACTGAAGGAGTATGAAAGTCTTTTATCTCAAGCTTTTCAGCAAAGTGAAATAGTGTACAATTACTTATTAATTATGAACCCTGAAATATCTAATACAGATTAATAATCTCAGTATATTTATGAAAGATGCTTATGATTTTCTTTTTTCCCTTTTGTCTCCACAGAAAATCAAGATCGCTGCCTTGCGCATGTACACATGCTGCGTAGAGAGAATCAATTATGACGAGTTCTTTGACAGTAAGTGGAGCTTAGAGTCCCGTCTTCACACAACGCTCTGTTGCCAAAAAATGTGCAGCTCAAACCAACAATGGACTCTTCCTCTGTACTCCAGCGGCTTGATGTTGCGTTGTCACAGAGGCTCAAGAGACACGTTTAATGAACAATGGTCAAAACTGACCTGATCTTTTATTTCACAGGATGGGTCGAGCTCCAATAATACTGGATCCTACATTTCCCACAATGCAACTCAATAGCATGTTTAATAAGATGTCCCTTGTCTTGTAAATTCCCCTCACCTTTATAAAAAAAAGAAAAAACTCCCTCCAGAGCCACAGAATAAATTATGATATTAACAGGCGGAGCAAATGGAGCATCGTGAAAAATAAATGTAATGCCCCTTTAAAGATACTTTACCTTTTAATTTTATTGATTTTAATGATCCCTTATTTACTTGTCACCAGAAGACTCTTTGTTGAGAGAATTAGCGATCACGTCGACAGGTTATAAAAGCACTTAAAGTGTTCATCATGAATACTGATGTCAGTGCGGCTGAGCTCCATTTCCTGTCAGCTGAGTGGATTTATATCCAGTATATGATAACACCTTTCAAAATAAGAGGAATGTTAATGGCAAACATGTTTCTGAAGGCAGGAGAGAAAGTGTTACAATAATACTGAATATACACACTGAGAAAAGCTGGAAAATCACTTGTGTAAAATCTTGCACACACACACACACACACACATATGCACACACACACTCTCTTCAGTATTAGTCCAGATCCAAACACTGACGATTAAGGCGTTGGTATCTGTCCCGGTCCAAATGGAGTTGATGAGCGCTCAGGGACACTGTCACAACCTGCCTGACACATTTATTTGACACTTTACTACCTGGCACACACAGACAGACACAAAACACACACTAATATTACTCTCACACACACACACACACACACACTTGGAGCCTGCTGCATTATCACACTGCATTTTACATTGTGGTAAAAATGAGCCTGATCCTGGTTCACAGGCCGATTTAAACACATCAGGACTCATCCTGGATATCTTGTCTTCAGAGTGTTGAGAGAAAGTATGGCTGCAATTGATGATTATTTTCATTATTGATCCATTTGTATTCTCTCAATTAATTGATTAATTTCTTGTCTTTAAAATGTTAAGAAAGCTGCCCATGAAACCAGACCTGATGTCTTCAGATGTCTTGTTTTATTTGCCCGTTTCAGGATTTTGATTTGGTCAGTTGCCAGAATAAATGAGACATTTTACAAAAACATAATGATGACTGCTGAGAAACTGAAAAAGTAAAGAATGTAACTGAGACAAACAAATAACCAGCTACAACGAAAGCAGTGAATACAAAGGTTACAGCTGCTTCATGTGCAAGTGCTTTTATATGGCACGATGTTGTAGTGCTGCAACTAATCATTAATTGATGATGGAAGTGGTTGCAGTGAAATGACGAATAGTTGCAGTTCTTCAGAGTCTGTGGGAAAAGACGGGAACAAGAGTTTCCATGTGAGTGTTGTGTGAATCTTGTGTCGTAACACTCGTTCATGTTTTGTGTTTGTTTCAGAATGCACCCTCCCTGACACACTCAACTCCTGGTTCTTGGTCGCACAGCTGCATGTGTGGTGAGTTAAAGACACACACACACACACACACACACACACACACACTTCTTTCTCAGATGTCATGTTGATGTCTTTTTTTTCTCATCATTCCTGCTTCTGTGTCTCATCAACATGGCGCATGTACGCAGCGTGTTATCTCTGCGTCTCTTGTGAATATAAACCTGATACTTCCACCACATGGAGCAGATGATGTCGAAGTTTTCTGCATAAATCTGCATTTTAATGATAGAAAACCGATTTCCCAGAAATGACTGTAACACTTGAAGTTCAGATTGATACCATGTACTGATGTAACACGCAAAGACAAACATCTGGTATGAAAACTAATTAGCTCAATTAGGAGGAAATCATTTTTTCTTGTGAACACAATAACTCAAGAACAACACATAGTAGAAGCTTCATATTTACACCACAGAGTTCTCATGTCGTGGCAGTCCACATGCCTCTCGTCCCCTCGTTTTACTTGATCCCCTCCTCCGTCAGGATGTGTTTGGTGCGGATGCGTCAGGAGGGCAGAGCAGGAAAGTACATGTGCCGTTACATTGTCCACTCCATGTGGGAGGATGTGGAGCAGAGGAGCAAAATCATGGGGGTAAGTTCTCTCTGTGTGTGTGTGTGTGTGTGTGTGTGTGTGTGTGTGTGTGTGTGTGTGTGTGTGTGTGTGTGTGTGTGTGTGTGTGTGTGTGTGTGTGTGTGTGTGTGTGTTTAGATGTGCATGTCCCTGTGAAGCTTTATGTTCATCGTCAGAACAGTCAGCAGGACTAAGACCACACAATCATATAACCCTTACACCACAAACACATGTTGGACATTCATTGCATTCCATGTTCAGTATAGCTCGATGCACTGCACGCCTATGATAACACACAGGGTTTCCTAATTATAGGACCCTGGACTGGGGGATACGTTACCCTATGAGCGAGCGAGAGAAGACGCTCGCTCTCTCTCAGGTACCCTCGTGTCTCTGTTGGGGCCGGAAGCTCCGTTCACAACCATGAAAAGTAGCAGCTGAGAAACCGAACGAAGCGACGTGTTGCATCCGTATCGATCTCCTCCGCTCTGTTTATTCACAGCGCTGCAGCTACACGCAGCAAAGTCAGCTGGTCGGAGTGTGTGTGTGTGTGTGAATATTTAATTAGTCAGTTCGTTTTAGATTCTGCCACAAAACATTTTATTCAAGTTTCGGGTTTTGCTGACGGACTAGCTCTCAAATTTTATGAACTAGAGCCACAACTAACAAGTATTTATATAATAATTTAGTATTTATTCTCTCTCGATGAATCGTTTTGTGTATAAAAACATCAGAAATCATTTCACAGTGATGTAAAACAGAGAAACGCAGTAAACTGTCACAATGTAGAAGCTGGAAACAACTGCGAAATTACTTGAACGATTAATTGATTGCAAAAATAGTGACGTGATTATTTATTTTTCTGTTGATAAATTAAACTTGACTAATCAACATAATTGTTTCAGCTCTAGAACGAACCACAAAAACAAAAACCAATCAGACATTTGGAATTTTAAAATGCTGAAAATAACCAGTCACACAGGGAAAACTATTGTTTTGTTGTATTAATACAGACCTCTGGTTCGTCAGGATTATATCACAGATATTTCATTAGTCATTAATTGTGTGATTGCAGCTGTAGAGAAACATCATGTTTTATCCATTGTTAGTTGCCACAGCAGCTCAGTTTTCTCTCAAGTAGCAGTGTTTTTCTAAAAAGCCACAAATGTGAAACAACCAGCTTCCAAACTGGTTCTCTGCCCGAAAACAACTAAATGTCATTCTCTTAAATAAATATTCATTATTTCAGAAACATTTCCGCTTGGGGCTGATGCAACAGGGCATTAAGTTTTATCCGTGCCATTGCATGCTACATAGGATGCAGGTTTTGTTTATTTAAAGTTTTACATCAGCATAATTGTGCCAACAGTTCTCAAGCAGAAAGTGGAGCCAAATCCCCGGAGTGTGGGTCTGGCCGCGGTCACCGTGTCCACAGAGTTGCTCCTCTATTCTCTGTCAGTGGAGCAGCTCCAGGAAGTGTCGCTCATTGACATCACAGACTTAAATCTTGGCCTCGCTCACGTGTAGCTTTCAGAAAGAGTTTCTCCTACTCAGATTAAACTCGAATTAACTCCCAAAGTTCATCGAGTGTGTTTTGTGTTCGACTTTTTCAAATTTGATTGACCTGGATTAAGAGGAATAAAAGTCAAAAAATAATTTGTGCTGAAATTTCCATAAAGATACATCCAGCCAATATACAGTATATATCAATACCAGTATATCTGTGGTCATTTTCATTGATCTGCTTCTCAGAGGAGACCCCAGCGCTTCTACTCCACTGGTCAGTGTGACAGGTTACATAACAACAACTGTATGTGACAATGTCCTGAATCACCTCTTATTCTTTCCTTAATTACATGAATTAATTTTCTTCTTTGGGCTCGGGGAGAGGTCAGTGAGGTCACGAGTCATTGGTGTTAAAGTCCAGTTTGGAGTGTTTTTCTGATTTCGTCAGAGTCCACACCTCATCACGTCACATCATCCACGTCACTCACATTCGCCTGTAAAATCCGCGCGGTGGCAGGTAAACACCAGAAGAAGTCACATGTACATATCTGTGATGTCAGTGGATGCGGATGGTTGAAGCTGGAGCCGGAGTTCACCGAGCTTTAAACCGTGAGGTCTTTAGTTTTAGCTCATTTAGCTGGTCGTGTGACAGAAAGAGGTCAGAGATGAGAAATTACAGTGCGGTTTGTGAGGTCACTCTTGGTGTGTGTGCACGCATGCATTGGGCGGAGCACAGAGGGGGGGACATGTGTGTGTGTCGGGGGGTGTTGCGTGTTTTCACAGCTGCATATGTGAACTTTTGTCAGCATGTGTACGTACACTTGCTTACATATGTGCTCGCACAAGCAAACACACGTGCCTGAGAATTACAGTTTTACTCAATTTGACCTCAACGAAAAACCTAATGTTTTTAATCTACACACTTTGACTCTATAATTCATGGTCAGTGTGACGGACACAAAACACGTACAGCGCCACACGTAGGTTTATTCTGTGGCCCTGCTGTGAAGGAAGCATCTGAACTTCATCCATTAGATAATTTCCTCGGACCGTCAAAATTTCTTTAAGCCACAGAGAAGCTCCACGCTCCAGATGTGTGCAGCTGTTTTTCTCAAAGGCGTCTCAAGCACTCAGGTTTGAGGTTTCATCCTTGACACTGAAGCAAAACTGCATCGATTAGTTGATTAATCTGTCACCAGAAAATTAATCAGCAACTATTTCCATAATCAATTAACCCTAAATTTGAGCAAAAATACCAAACATGCTTCTTTCCATCATGTTATATTAAAGTAGATTAAATCTCATCAGGTTTCAGACTGCTTAGGGTTTGTTTATGTGAAACATTTTTCACTCTTTTCTGATGTTTTAAGGCCAAAACAATTTATCAGTTAATTGAGAAAATAACAGGCAGATTGATTGATAATGAAAATAGTCAGTGAAGGTCGAGAGAACGTGGCAACAAGAAGAATCTGCAGAATCAGTCGGATCTGAGTCAGGCGAAAACGTGCTCTTGAAAACATCATATTATATCAAATACATAAATGTATCTCAACACATTCTGCAACAGGTGAGCGACCTGAACGCCACAGCCCAAAGCACCTGTATATCTATAACAGATGTCGACAACTGGGATACAAAACCATCTGAGACAGAACCCCGAAGAGAAAAGACAAAATATCAACAACAACAAAATAACTGTAGAGTGACAAATGAGAAATAAAAGAAAAATATTTGTGAAAAAATATTAATGTCATGGAAAGAGAATTAAATAGGAAAATAAAAAAAGCAACAACGTGGGCCTGTGTGCGCATGTGTGCGCATGTGTGCGCATGTGTGCACATGTATGCGCATGTGTGTGCATGTGTGTGCATGTGTGTGTGAAGAACCAGGCGCAGCTTCCTAATCGAGCTCCACATCAGCAGCTCATGTATTTGTACAACCAGGACCAGTGATTGGAGTCGCTCTCGGGTTTCATGCTAATTGTGGTCAGGAGCAGTAAAAACACTGCTCATTTTCTCCATGTTCATAATTAACTGCTGCAACCAGCTGAAACCAACCGAACCCCACAATGACTGAGCTGTCCCCGGTCTCAGCGCCAGCTTAATGAACTCACCGCCGCAGCTCGGCTTCATCCTCAGGACAGATGGCTGCAGGAGCTCAGGTCATTATGTCCAACTGTTTACATGCAGGACTTTTACATTAACCGCTGCAAGGCCAGCTTTGTTGAGCAGCGTGTAGACACTTGATTGGAGATGAACTGACATGACATTTTACGCAGATATTATATATATATATATATATATATATACGCAGATGGCTTTTACTCTTGTTGCCAGCCGGACGTTGACTGGTGTGGTTTTGAGGATAATGTCTGTGCATTGGGCAACTACTGAATAAATTAATATGAATTTTGAGACACACATTCATGTTCACCTCGGGATGAATTGTATTAACTTTTCCATCAGGCGGCATCAACGGGTCAACGTTTCATTTTGTGCTGTGCTTTGGTTTCTGCTGTGTCTGAGTCCAGCCTGACAGAACTGCTAGCGCGGCTGCGGACTTGTAGTCTTGTTGTAAAATGAATTGTACTAATAAAAGCAGAATATAAATGTGGGCTAATTGGCCAGTTGTGTTATTACCCAAAACTACAGCGCCTCAGAAACGGGTGGTTGCTACAGACTGTTGGATTGACCTCAGTATCTGACCGCAGTGTTTCTGTTTCCTCTCTCTCTTTCTTCTCCGACGCAGATTGATGCCATCCACAGAAAGGAAGCGCTGAAGGTGATGACAGAGACTTTCTATGCTGCAATATTTGGATATGATGAGGTGAGATGCTTTCTCTTACACACACACACACACACACACACACACACACACAGACAGAGAGGAAGCAGCTACTAACATGCTGACACAGACACAGGCTTGAATCCTGTCCAGTGTTTATGTTCAGCAGTTTTGTCTGGATCCAGCTGTGTCACAGTCTGCTGGAGACCGTCTGTGTCTCTCTGCTGCGTTCATGGCAGTTTGTCTCTCTAAGGGATGGAAATCATTTCTGGATGTATATAAACGCTTATTTTTATTGGCAGTTGATGTGAAATGTGATATATAGTCAGCCCAGTTTTCTGCTGTCCGTGATTGCCTCCTCTGCACTTGAATGCAGCGTAATTCACAATACAGTTGTTCTAATTTACATATTTTTCCGCTGCTAAAGGAGTGAGTATAAAATAGTGATTTAAATCATGGCTCATAAATACTACATGTTGACCAGGAGTCACTCTGAAGCTGCTGGTGCAACATAATGTCATGACAGCTGTGCTCTGTGATTGGTTATACTCTCATTTAAAACGTGAACACAGGAGGCAAAAGCTCATTTTTCAACAATTGTTAAAACAAGTCAAATGCAGCCATAAAGCATCTGTTACCACGTGTACATGAGCTGCATGTATGTGGCCAGACAGCTCTGATCTATAGAAGACACGTGTCTGCTGAAGAACTGCTTCTCTGGAGACAATCAAACTGGGAGTGGGAGCAGAATCAACACATCTGGATCCTGTGGGACACCCAGTGTTAAACTAATGTGGCGGAGAAACAAATCTCTTATTTTAAAACGGATTTTATTTGACTTGTCTCCCATTTCTACGAAACAATCGCCCGCAAACAGCATCACAGAGCCGACTGATTTTTAACCTGGAGACTTTGCTGCTCACTGATATATGATCATGTGAGTCTCTGGTTTCACAGAACAAATGATGTAATGATGCAGGATCAATAATGCAGTGTGTGTGTGTGTGTGTGTGTGTGCGTGCAGGGAATTCTGTCTGATGACCCTGTGCTGGCTGCAGCTCTGTGGAGAATCCTGTTCAATCGCCAGTGTGAAGACCCCAAACAGCTGGAGCTCATGGTGGAGTACGTACGCAAACAGGTGTGTTTACACTCGCCTCTGACTATATTTGTGTTCGTGACTCAGGTCTGCAAATACATGTGATGTATTTGTATTTAGAAACTTTATTTAAACCAGCTTCACATCCTCTTCTTCTTCCTCGCTGCTGTCTGTGGAGGAAGGACACACGAGGTGTAGCTGTGGTTTATTTGCACATTCAAATGATGAAATCTGTACAAGAGAAGAAAGCAGTGATTCGACAGCAAGGAGAAAAGGTTTCCTCTTGAGCAGTGGTGTAAATGAACAAGTTTCTTTATATTTTTACTGCACTACATTTCAGAGGGAAATGTACCTTTAACTTCACTACATTTATTTGACAGTTGTAGTTTCAGAGTAAAATTTTGCATTAATAGAGGGCCTTTGACTTCCCTGAATAGAGCTTTTCTGTGAGAGTACAAACAGACTTCTCTTGATTGACATCTTTATCACTACTCTTAGTGTTGTACCTGTAAAGGTGGGACAAATTATACCAATTACACCTTTGACAGTTTATTAGTAGATAGAAGTAATGAGCTCCACGTGACTTCAACCAGAGCGCAGGTCTGATTAGCTGTAATGACTGGAAGAGTCTGGTTGGAGACTTTTGATCATGTTTCCATCAAAAGAGACATTTCCCCTCTGAAGCTTCTTTTCAGATAGTTTCATTCAAGTAATTAAGTAGTTTTTTATTAAAAAAAGAAAGAGGGAAAAAAGCAAAGATTAGAGGAAAGTAGAGCTGAACAATTAATAGAAATATTATCAAAAATCCCAAAATGCTAAAGTGCAATATCCAAATCACAGGAGCTGCAATTTTTCAATTTAAAAAAAACAGACCATAAATAAAACATAATGATGCTACAGAGACTAAATCATATTCTCCAGACGTCAGTGAAAATGAGAACAGACCACTTCAACTGAAATCCTGACTCATCGTAACCGCGGAGGGATTTTTTTTTTTTTTAGTACATCGATCAGCTTTAGAGGAAATTCCAAAATAATGAACATAAAATGATGTGTCACATCCTTTTAATCATCTCACGACGCTGCAGCAGCTGCAACAGAAACATGTTGCTTACACACAGTGTTAATTATATAATGTCAGATAGAATCAGAAATCATATATTTATATATTTCCTACTGATACTTTAATAATTCCCCTGTAAAGACTTTAAATCATGAACTTTTGGATGTATTATACTAAAATCCAACACTCTGTTTTCCCCTGTTCTGCCTCACCTCCCCCCCAGCACTTTTCCTCACCCGTTAACCTGCTCACCTCTTCCTTTCTCTCCTCTCTGTATATTTTCTTTCCCTCTGTGAGATTGAAAACACTCTCCTGGTCTCAGAAACACCTGCACCTCCATCTGCTGCAGGGGCCATATGGTGCAGGACCTCCTCTCTCCCTCCACCTCCCCTTTCTTTCATCCCGACTCTGCAGCTTTTCCTTTAATGACTCCGTCTCTCTGTTTACGTCAGACTTCCTCTTCTTGCTTCGCTTCACTCTTTACTTTTTATTTTCTGGTCTCACTGACACGTCCGTCGACTCTGCTGCAGCTTTTCCTCCTCTCATGAGCTCAGATGGAACACGCTGCTGCTGCTGCATCACACCAACAAGAGCTGACTGCTACACACACACACACACACACACACACACACACACACACACACACACACACACACACACACACAGATGCAGGTGTGTTAAAGGTCATGGGCGCAGTGTCCAACTCAATCAGCTAACAAAGTGTCCCCCAGAGTGTGTGTGTTTGTTTATGTCTGCTGGTCTAAGAGTCAGTAGAAGTAACACACACACACACACACACACACACACACCTCCAGGGAAAGTAAACAGTAAACAAGTTTGTCAGGTTTAGTGTCACGTCTTCACACATACACAGGTTTAACATTGTGGGTGGCAGAACTACATCTTTGCATTAGCTCCACCTTCTGCATTTTATAACAGCTCTGCTGCAGACATTATGTTTTCAGGTCGTCCCATCCAAGGTCAAAGGTCACCGTGACCTCACGAAACGTGTTTTTGGCCATAACTCCAGAATTCATGCGCTAATTATGACACAACTTAACACAAATGTCCAACAGGATAAAACAACATTTTATATCCCCAAGGTCAAAGGTCAACTTCATAATGTTCTGCAAAAAACACTTCTGGTCATTATTCAAAGCTGTAACTCGGGAACAGAGGGAGAGACCGTGACCGTGTTTCCTGCGTCTTGATTGGTTGGTGGAGGCACGATTGTGGTTTATATTAGTTTTGTTTCTGTGTCTCCTGTCTGATGCTGTACATCAGCACTGTATGAGGATTATAAATGATTTTCAGTGGCTTCAGTTTGAATCAAACTCAAATTGTTAATTTTACTATTTAAATCTGAGTTCTGTCTAATCCCCCGTTGAATGTCGTCAGGTTGTTCTTTCAGTATTTACAAGTATCTTAAGTCTAAAATAACTAATGCGTTCATTGGCTGAGAAACAGGAAGATTGATAAACTGACAGGAGGTGATCAGCTGATCATTTCTGTAGAGAGGAGTCACGACTCTGTTGGTCCGTGTTGAACTACAGAAACACAGTCTGCTCGCCGTCGTGCAGTGATGTCACAGAGTGATGTGTCTTTTCTCTCACAAACAATCTTTGTCTGAATAAAGACGCCAGCTGCAGTAACCAGAGAACAAGACGACTTTTCAATTCAGCTGCCACAAAAATTTATGTTAATTTTTACCAAAATCATCCAACGGTTCACAAAGAAAGTAAAAAACGAGAGGAAATTTTTTGATAGAACTTTATTTTTTGCTCCAATTAATCGTCTGACGACCTCCTCAGATTTCTCTCACGACCACCTCGGGTTGGGAACCACTAGTTTAAACTATTGAACACTATATAAAGTCGTTCATACGGGCTCCACGTCAGGCCGCTACAACAGTAACGATGTCTCAGTGTTAATCTAATCATGTCAGAGTCGGATATAATTTCCTTGCAGAGTCAGCACTTCTAATACAAGCAGATGATACCTCTGTACTTTGTTCAGTGCAGTACTTTTTACTTGTCAAACAGTATTTTTACATTGTTGTACTGACTCTTCACTCCTCCGCTGCAGATGCAGTACATTGACGCTCTGGACGGGGAGGACCTGCTGCTGACCGGCGAGGTGAAGTGGCGCCCCCTGGTGGAGGAGAACGCACAGAGCATCCTGAAGGTGGTCACACCCACGTACAACGACACCGGACTGTGAGACGAAGGGACGGACTCCTGTTTCCTCTCATCCAAAGTCCTTCCCCTCATGTCCTCCTCTCTCACGTGTTGATTTCCTTTCTCCTCCCTAGAAACATGTAACATTTTCCCTCCTCTCTCTCTCTCTCTCTCTCTCTCTCTCTCTCTCGCTCTCTCCTCTCTCCCCTGTCATATAAGGTGGGATTTTAAATTTGACGTAAGGTCTGTAGCTTTCTCAAACGCTCCTTTACTTCTCTTTTCTCCCAAAACTCTTCTCTTCCTCCTCCTCCTCCTCCTCCTCCTCTTCTGCCTGAACGATTTGTCCACCAGAAGTCTGTTTGAGGAGGAGCAGTATAAACAGGGTAGACAGTCAGGGATTATTTTTCATTTTTACACACATACCCGTGCTCGTTCACCCGTCAATCAGCAAAGCAACCAGTTCACAACCATGGAAACGCCGTGCATCGCCATCCTCCGCCGCCGTCGTCGTCGTCGTCGTCCTGTCGGTTTCGAGAGCCTCCGCCGATTCCTCTCTGCAAACCGAGAGAACAAGATACTCTGTATTTATATTTTTCTCACTTTTTTTCCACGAATGCCACGCTGTATTTATAACATATTTTGTATACCTCTGTGTTTACACTTTTCCTCCTGCAGAGGCGTCAGCTGAGACTTCTGTCACTGCTCCTTCACTGTGCGTTCAATAAAGTTTCACTCTGAGTAGGTGAAGTTAAGACGACATGAAAATCATGGTTCTAGGAAACAAATGCAAGAAGATTTGACGGGTTACTGGACTTCCTCTCTTTGTGTCGGAGGTCTGTAGTTAAACGTCTCTGCTCCCGAAACATCCACAGTCTACGTTTCTCTGTTTGTCTGGCTCCCATGATGCTCTCTGACCGAAACAGGAAGCTGAGCCCTCAAAGACTCAGACGTCACCACTGTATTAAAAACAATAAGGTTTTTTTTGTTTGTTTGTTTTTAAAAAGTAAATAAAATGTTCTCTGGATGTATAAAACTGCTGAGCCTTGTTTTGTTCATGTTCTGCTTTTTGTGACCTCCACTGTCCGGGTGAAATATAAACTTTAAACACATCGTGAATATTCGGTAGACGTCTCCTTGTAACCTCACCTTCAAACAGCAGTTAACGGTTGCCAGGGGAAACGCCCGCCCACAAGCCTGAAGCTTAGTCACAAGCCAAGTTTAAATTTAGCACAAATTTTGAACAAATTTCCTAAAATTCATCAAAAGAAAATGTGAATTAACGAACGTTTCCACCCACTAGTGTCATGTGGATTTTAGCAGCTGGTTATTTGAGCTTGTGGAGCTAATTCTTCAGTCGCTGCCATTAAACCACTGCAGAAGAAGACACAGGGAGATGAGGTCATTAAAAGGAAAAAAGATCCAGTCGAAGCTCGAACGATGGAAAACATGATGGAAATCTGACATTTCTCTTCAGTCTTGCTGATGGCTTTAATTTTTGATTAATTACCCGTTTTTCACACAAACCTCAATACGTCACATTCACATGTTTTTTCTGCAGGAAAAAAAAAAAAAGCCAAAGATCCACTTTGAAAAACAAAGACCTGGTTCCAGACAGAGTTTTGAGTCACAGGTTAAAATCACTCCACCTCGTCTGGAGACACAAATCCAGTGTGAGTGAAGCTTTAGAGACTGTTTTAGTACGTTCTCCGTCTCTAGAGTCTCGACTGAGGTTTTTATCTTTGACTCTCATGATGATATTTGACTCTTTTTCTCCTGAGTCTCCTGGACTTCATGATAATCACTTGGCTTATAACTGTAGTAATGTGTTATTCATGCACTGTTGTATTATATAATGTGAGCTGCAGGATGAAATGAAGGCACAGTGTTCCACCGCCTGCTCTTCTGCATGTGGCCAGCTGATGGCGCCCACACTCCACTGTTTTTTTTTTTTTAATATGGAGCACAACAGCCAGTTGATCCTGATGCAGCTTCTGCAAGACTTTTACGTTCTTTATCATTTCATATTTGTCCAACGCAGACGCTTTAAAAGGCGGGAAAGCCCGTGACAGGTGACGTGGCACAGAGACATGAGTGGAGTTACTCAGTAGAAACCAGTGACCGGATTGTTCGGTCGGATTCATCCACCTCAGAGGTTTTTACGAGATTGAATAAAAATAGATTTCATTTATTTTTTGAAATTTTTTGACCATTTATTATATATAGTTTTATTTTTTCCATCCTACACACATGATCTCCATTTAACTTCATTACTGCAGCACTGATTATTTAGACGTGTCAGGTGGAAACGTTTCTCTAACCCTGGAGCTGCACACGTGAAGATGATGTAAAGAAACAAGTGAAACATCAGCTCTGGTGTCTTTGGTTTGTTGTCGCTCTCTGACTTTCATCTGTGTCTCAGGACGTGACGGGCTCCTCTCCGTCCTCTCTCACCAGCAGCGGCGTCCAAACGTTCAGGCGGCTGAAAGAGGAAACGCTCGGACTGAGTCATGATGTCACAGAGGAGCGTCTGTGTTTTTTTTTAATGTTCTTTTCCACTCATCTCCCAACGCTCCCGTCCTTTCCTTTACACACCCTGTTTCTTTGTTTTCCATCTTTATACTCGGCTTGTGTTTATACTTTTTAAATTGATGTGATCGTTAGAGAGGAAATTTAAAAATAACAGCCTCAGACATCAGGCATCAGGCAAAGCTGCTGGAACTCAAATGAGGTTTTGACTCGAAAATGACCGAAATCTTACATTTTTCTAGGTTTGACAGAAGATTTAAAACATTATATTTAAACAGAGTGAACAATAATGGACCAAAGATGAATGCGAACAGGAAAAGTTTTCACAGTCTTCTCCTCCTCCTCTCCTTCTCCGCTCAATAAGCTGCAGCCTGAGAAACCGTTCATGGCTGTAAATGAAGTCTGAATACATCACGACCTTGAACAACAGCCAGTATCATTTAGTTTAGCGAGATTAATTTGACATTTTGACTTTTCTTTACTGGTTATCTGTGTAATGATCAACATAAATCGCTTGTAACAGACCATAATATTAGAACACTAAGGTCACGTTCAGGCTGGTGTGGAAATACTCGCCTCCTGCGTCATTTTAAATGACGTTGTTATGGCGACGCGGTGATGCAGAGAGCTCCAGTCGCCCTGGAAAAAAGAGGCCGTCCTCCCGTAAAGAAAACGAGCCCACGGGTCGTCTGTGCCGCAGGTTATTACGTACGGTGGCCCCGAGAGAAAACAGACAAAACACTCAGAAAACGTCTTCGTCAATTCAACAACACGTGATGCAAATACTGACATCGCAAACAAACAAACAAACAAATAATCGATGATGATGTTTTCTGCATTTGTTTGCGTTCTGTCAGTTCGCATTGCCTTCTCTCAAGATGCAGTGCGTTGAGCTCTCAGGGCCGCCGTAATTACGACCCATAGTTACGTTTTGTTGCTAGGCGACACCTAGTGGTCGTAGTAATTATGACAGGTGACGTAGTATAAAGAGAGACAAAGTAACCATTAGGAACTTCAACATACAATATACATGTACCGTCTCTGTCTCTGTCTCTGTCTCTTTCTCTGTACTGTAATTTATATTCATTTAATTTTTCCAGTGTCACATGAGTTTCAGATTCAGAGTCAGGAGGTTTACAGGCCACAGTCGAGGCCAAAAAAGATTTCATGGCTTCATGTTTTATTTGGTCTGTTCTCTTCTGCTGTGTGTGAAGCTCCGTGGAAAGAGGCTGTTTAGTGGGTTAACAAGCTATTGTATCCATTCATAAGGAAACCAGTTTTTCCAAAGTGACAGTGTTGTTCCCAGCCTTGTTCTCTCATTGTGTGTATATGTGTGTGTGTGTGTGTGTGTGTGTGTGTGTACGTACTTCTAGCTTTGTGAGGACCAGTCTGGTTCTCTCTTTCTGACACACCTTCAAAACAGTATGAGGGTTAAGATTTGGTTTTAGGCTTCAGGATAGGGTTAGGTTAGGGTTGGGGTTAGGAATTTAGTTGTGATGGTTAAGGTGTGTGTGTGCGTGTGTGTGTGTGTGTGTGTGTGTGTTTGATCTGATAACCTTCACGCTTCTTCCTGACTCAGTTCAGATCAGGTTTCATCCCATCAGAATTACCACAAATGCTCCTGCAAATGTATGTGAGTACACAACACACACACACACACACACAAACACACACACACACACACACACACACACACACAATGAGAGAACAAGGCTGGGAACAGCAGACTGCAGGATAATCCTAACAGTAAAAAATCACTGTTCAAAAACTAAACTCACCTCAGTCTAATTCACGCTAATATTTCAGCGCTATTCCGAATGTGTTAGAATTCAGGATTTGATGCAGCTCGTGTTCCCTTTGGATTAACTGAATATTGCGTGTGTAGAATTTTCCAATTAAGGGAGGGATATATCGACATTTTCCGGGGTTTAGGAGGGTTCGTCTCAGTTTGCCTGTTTCGTGTGTTGTACATGAACCAATTAGACAATAGTTTGCCAGGCTGGAGTGGAGATGCAGGGCCAAAAGAAAAGCCTGCCATGATGCACAGAAACATTTTTATATGCACAAACATCGCGATGTCAACCTTTTAATTGGAGTTAATTGGAGTTTGCACGGCTGCATGTAAATGAGAATATAATGATATTTATTCATAGAGCACGTTTCAAAATCCACGTTACACAGTTCTTGACAAGGGCAGCAAAATAAGATGCATGAGACATAAAATGAAGAGGTTTCAAAGAGGAAAAAAAAACAGTTAAAACAATTAGGTGTATAAAAACCAGGAAAAGCTCTCAGATAAATATGTTTTAAGAAGGGACTTAAAGGAGGTCACAGACTCAGACTCTGACCTGATTTCCTCGGGCAGATCGCTCCAGAGCCTCAGGGGCCACGACTGCAAACGCTCTGTCCCCTTTAATGTCAGCCGGGCCTCTGGAACAGACGGCCGACCTTCACCTGAGGCCTCAAGGTGCGTCCTGATGTCAGAGAGGTCAGAGACACAGTCGGGAGAGAGGCCAAAGAGGGCTTTAAAAGTAATCAATAAAATCTTAAAGTCTATTTACAGAGGCAGAAACAGGAGTGATGTGATCATGACTCAGTGGAATATAGATACTAGTAAAATATTCCATGTAAACAGCTCAGTAATAATATTGTCTTTGTCAGAATTAGGGCAATAAGCTGAATATTTAGTGCGTGTAAATAAAGCGAGTGACAAAGTTGCAGGAGCAGTTTCAGTATTTGAAGAATGAGCTCAGGTAAAGTTTTATCACAGTGACACATACACATCACTTTCGCATGAAATGTACATCTTGCATAGAAACACGTGTTTATACCGTTAATAAAAGGCTTGAAGGTGTTTGATTGTGTGATGAGGTGATAAACTGTTTCTCGTCCCAATGATCTTCACATGAGAGGGCGACACTTTAAAAACCCGCTCCGATCAAAATCAAGTTTTTAACCTTGTTAACATCCATACGGTGTTTTTTTATATAATACTGATCCAGGAAGTAAGAGGAGATGAGCTTCCAGTCCCAGTTTTTCTTTTTTACAATGTTTATGTGTGAAAACCAAGTTAAACAAAATATTAATCATTACAGAGGATTTTACTGAGTTTGATACATTTGTGGAGAAGAACCTTTAGCATGTTAGCATGCTAACATTTGCTAATTAGCACTAAACACAAAGTACAGCTGAGGCTGATGGGATTGTCTTCGCTCTTGCAGATATTTGGTCATAAACCAAAGTACTGGACAAATTTCAATGTTGACCTGATGATGAAAAGTATAAGAATCAAAGACATTTTAATTTATCCTCTTGGGACACTGAATCTGTGATAAACTTCACAACAATCCATCCAATAGAAGAGTTCTCCACTGATTTAGCATCACACTGAAAAACCAAAAGCCTCGACCACGGTGGCTCCAGAGGAAAAGTCAAGACGATCCGCAAAGTCACTACGGTAAATCCTCGTCAGTCCATCCGGTAGCTGTCGGGATATTTGAGTCTTGG